TGTAAAGGCGTCTCCTCCTCTAAGGAGTAAAAAAACCTTGAGTAAGCAACTCAAGGTTGGATATGTGCTTTTTAAGACTAGTGTCCAGTCAGGGTTCGGTCAGTATCATCGCCATGGTTAGCAAACAGATTGAGAGTTAGTACCGATGTCTCGCACCTTTGCCGCTGCTGCTCGTTGTCGGTATCGATAGTTAACGTCTGGCGTAAACTACTTAAGAAAAAATAATATATTTCAAAATCACTATAGAATGGAGTACAATACTCGTATATTTATAAGGAGGTTTTCGTTACCAAACATCCCTTTTTACTTTTATAAGGAGCCTAGTACACAGTGGACGTGTAACTATTTGATTAAAAATATTAAAAAGCAAGATTAAGTTTATATTGAAATTATAATGTTTATTACTTTAAACAGTACTACATGTAAATTATATGGCATTGAAATCACCTTATTTAAATGTTAAATTACACATAAAGCTGCAGCAACACACTTAATTCCATTATATTTTTATCGCTTTTAGTCCCAATTACACATAACGTATAAAACGCAAAAACAATTTAACTAAAGAATGGAACATGAATGGAACTCCTTATTTGAAATAAGGTGTTTCATTCATTCACAAGCCAGTTACGCAATCGGTCAGCTATCGTAGCAAGTGCAGCCTTGTTTCCGTTCGTTTTAAAAGTTCCTACACACTGTTTTCATAACAGCCTACACATTTTTGTACATATTATATGTCAGTGCTCGACGACAGCCTCACCTGGTGATAAGCGTTGATGTAGCCATAAATGGTAAATCGCCCTATATTAGCGTAACAAAAACCTATTCACTCTTGCTTTGACCTAGATTGTAATTGGACGGAAAGATAGACCCTGGTAAATTATTCTACTCTTATGCTGTTTGCATAGCATATTTAATATAGTAATAATTATGAGTATTTGAAAGTACCTATATGGTAACACTGGTTTCAAACTAAAGATGAAATATTGTTACATTGGTGTTTTTAAAGTTGGTTTAACCAGTTTCGTAAGAGCATTTCCGTTCATTTCACTAGTCAATAACAGCAAATAAAGTTTATTACACAGCAATCTTATATTTTAAGAAATCTGGTAGCGTAATCGCTCGACACTCGCCTACAATAATAATTGTATACCTACTAAGCAAGCAAACCAAGTTCGATTCTGATTTAAGAGGTGACAGACAGCCTGTGACGGAGAAGGTAAATGTAGGTGTTTCTTTCCTTTTGTCCTTATGCTATTCAGCCAAAAATCACTATTTGCATTTTTTGTACAAATAGGTTATAAGCATTCGATTTAAAATTGAAATAAAGCAACATTTTAAATCGACAATTTTAAAACGCATAATTCATTTATAAAACTTAAGCAATTAACTTGACACATATTAGATAAATCGTTCGTAGTGGCACGAACTCAGCGGGTGCGGCAAAACTAGGTTACCCATTTCTCGTAACTTCATAGCGAGCCACAAAATCAGAAAGACAAGTCTAACTTTAGTTTGTAGGCTGTTAAGTCTTTTTGATAATAATGGTGTCGCCCCTTTGCTCGTGAAAGCTCATCAAATTCCATCCTTTGCGTTCTTATCTTACTTTGGTTGGTAGGAAAGAGATGGTGATTTTTATTTAACACGCATACGTAAATTGTACCTAGCTATACACATTACACACAATACGTTAACTGCGTAATTCTTTCTATCTCAATTGTGTATGTAATGTGTTTAATACGTATTTTTTTGAAATATTTCAATGTATAAAGCTGTTATGCACAAAATTTTATATTATTTAAGATGTGTACAAACCCACGCATTTTGACCGGATACATTTATTTTCCATTCGCCATTTTTGAATACGAACACCTACCAGTGTGTTCATATTTGCATATTATAAGACTATTGAATATCAAGTCCCACACAGTAATGCTGCAGTATACAGGGTAAACAAAACAATCGATAAATTCACGTGTTTAATACTTATAATATGCCAACTTTGTTTCGTTGTTAGCGTCACTAATGTTATAGGGTTATAGCGTCTCTAATGTTATTTTTAATTCCGCTTTCGCCACGGTGCTAAGTACGGCTATATCAAGGTTATAACATTAGCAACTCGTTTTTTGTCGTGTTTAAGCAGATGTGTTTTATTTGTTCGTCAAACAACTAGCGGCTACTCGTTATTGATCACAGATTTAGGATTGCGTAAAACATTCGAGTTCCTACGTTTTTACTTCTGGCTTCGACGTTTCCACGGTTTAAAGTTTCTTAATGTGCTCGTCACAAAATATACGATTCAATTAAAATTCATACACCGCGATAAGGAATTACCGAGATCTTATTGCAGCTTAAAGATTTCATGCAATTAACAACATAAAAACAATGCTTTTTGCCAGGCCTAGATATAAACCTTGAAAACGTTTGTCTATTACGGGCTCCAAAACCATATTTCTTAGCTTGACACATTTTCCTCACGATCCGCGATCGGAATAAGTAAAAACGTCCCCGCAACTAGGTTACTCTGACTCCGTGCTTTATTATGTTTACGTGCCACAGATATGAGATATACAGATAGCTATACAGGCAGGCTGGGTCAAGGTGCCAGACAGCTTTCGAGTCGCATAACTATATATGGAGCCCGGCATATTTTAGCTACTGTTGGACACAGCCACAAATCATTTGTTCGGTCACGACTTGTCCTATTAATACACGGCCCCCTAATTTCCACATAATGTTGTCTAGAGCGTACATCGGTGTCGTGGCTATTAACTGCTTAATCTACGTATGTCCTTGTGTTCGCAGTAGTCCGCGGAGCGCACACAAACAATGGACAAGGCAAGCCACGCGGAAGAGCGTTAAAATGCGTCGTAAAAACGCGTAGTTTTAATTTTATGGCACACATTCAATTGGGGCCTGTAAAAATTCGTTTTATTGGAGACGCATCCTGGACCCGAGGCCGAGATGTTCGGATAGCTCTAATTAAAATCCCGCAATGTGAACTTGCGAAAGCGCGGCGACGCGACGACGCGCAGTATTAAAAAACTCGAAGACACCCTTTATTACATGTTTAAATAAAATTTACGCAATAATTTTGTCGTTCTGTACATAAAGTTCAATCTATGTCTGCCTGTCTGTCACAGTTGTTTTTCTCCCACGACAGGAAAGATTTGTCATGCTTGGCGGCGGATTAGAGATTGCACTCTCAGGTGTCTCACATTTTTGACGCAGATGATAGCTTAACATTACAAAAATAGCCATTAAAATTCATATTTTTAAATAAATGCTAAAAGTTGCAGTTCCTTGTCATGGATGTCTTCAAAAGAAAAAGTTTAAAAAATATTATGAAAAAAATTATAATTGCGTTTTTATATTATTAGGACTAAACAATTCCATAGCCGTGATCAATTTGAACATTTTGGCAATCCTATAATGCCCTCCAGAACGTATTACGGTCACGGCTGCATTCGTAATGGAGACGCCATGTGCGCAGGACAGGATTGTTGTACACGAGTGTGTGCGCTAACACAGATGGTTGTGGTCCATTCCTTCACGCTCATATTCCAACGGGATGGAAATTCAACACGACCTGGGAGAGATCAGGTGCAGAACAAATGGCTTTGCGTTCTTTCCGAGGCACATGGGTGAAAACACCGCCAACTTCCTAACTCCGGCCTGCTAAGAATTTTTTAACAGAAAAACCTAATAACTGATTTTGGTCCGACACTGGATTAGAACCCGGGAACATTCTGTTCAACAGTCACACTTACGGTTTAACGCGCCAATGAGGTAGTCAGAAATATTATAAATAAGTTCGTTATAGCTGTTGATGATGATTATCATAATGTTAATTATTGAATGTTATTCCATTTTTAAGCTTAATTAGGATTGTCTCTTATAGCAAGGAGGGATATTACCTACGCAAATTGAAAATACTATAAAGATAAGGCCCCAAACCCCAGCGATAAGGCAATCTATAATGAATGGATTTGTAAGCCATACAAATACTTGTTCCACTCGCGAAGAGGCGTAGAACAAGTGTTTGTATGGTATGGCAGGCGGATTTAACGATTGCAATACGAGTACCAGACGTCTCGCAGATTTCATGATTCGTTACACCGCCATCTATCGGAAGTAATAAGATTTTTCTGGCATTTTACATAGTCGCCTCTTACGACAACCCGCGGGACGGAATCGGTTGATGGGATTTCTACCTCCGCCACTTCACAACCACTTTATGACATCTGATTGTTACATAAAAATAACAAAAATTACAATCTTTCTTCAGTCTTTCTTTACTTGATGGGGAAAGCTTGCGCATCGCTGTAGCAATCCGGCAATTTGTCAACCCCACCAGTGCCCCTGTGGTCAGCAGCGTCGACAAGTTTAGGCTCCATGGATTTTTATGTAAAAAAGTGCTGGTAGATTTTCACGGCATGGCTCTTTGAACGATGTCATCTTTCCATCTAAGGGCTCTTATCTCTATAAATGTTCCCTCGGTTTTAGAGCCTTGTGGAATATTTAGAGACGATGGCAAGAGACCCCACGGTATGACATTGGTCCCTTGGGAGAGAGGTAAAGCCGTAGTGTGGAATGCCACCTGCGTAGATGAAGTTATCTAACTTTGGCGGCCTCTTATCTCAAGGGTACCTCGCTTAGAGCCGGGGCAGCATTAGAGGCAGCTAAACTGAGTAAGTTGCGCAAATATGAGTCTCTGAGAGATGACTACATATTTGTGCCATTTGTTGTAGAGACTATCGGTCCTTGGGGTCCACGTGCGGTGAAGTTCCTCAAGGAACTCCATCTGCGACTGGTCGTTGCTGCTGGTGATAAGAGGGCTGGTTCTTTTCTCGCTCAAAGGCTAAGTATAGCTATTCAGCGGGGAAACGCGGCCAGCGTCCTTGGCACGATACCGCGGGGAGTAGGACTGTATTATAATTAAGTTACTAGTTTTAATTTTTTTTATTACCAATCGTAATAAATATTATCTTTTGTTTCAGAACAAACAACACCGAGCGTTACCAACGTTACCTTCCCGTGAAGACTTCCAATCGAGACGTTAAGTGCCATTTGGAACCAGTTTACCACACAGTGATATTCAGTAGCTATAGTGCTAGTTATAGTGCGTTCGTGATATAGACATAGATAAGGTGCTGATAGTTTTTAGAGTTTAAAGTAACCAAAAAGAAGCGAAGCTGGCTCCGTACAAGGATATCATGAATTCGTCGAGCATGAGCTCTGTTGTGCCGACTATTAAGTGTGAGGATTCGCCATCGCCGACGGCGCCCGTTGGCACTGAAGGCGAAGGGGGGGCTTTCAAAATGAGCATCAATGTAAATCTCAGTACCGCCATGATGAACCTCCTCGCAGCGGACAACGCAGGGCCAGCGCTACGCACGCCTGAGATCGTCAACGATGTTATAACCATGACCAATCCCCTGGACCAGTACAATTACAACGACAAAAATTCCAAATTTCAGGTAATAATAATGATAAATGTTTTTTTTTTTAAGTTGCAAACATAAACAAAACAGTTGTTGGGCTCTCCTAGAAAATCCGTTTAAAATAAAATCCGTGTCAGGAGGAACGGGTAATGAATGATACCGAAAATAGAAATCGCGAGTATCACAGATTAAGTGCAGGTACTTATTTAAAAGGTTATAGTCTAAATAGACTATAACCTAATATAAATAGAATAGTTAAATAACTACCATAGCTAGCCAATGGCCTCCTCCTATTTCTGAGAGAGTTGGTGTATTTCATATATCCCAAAAATTTATTTCTCAGATATACAGGTTTCCTCACGATTCATTGTGTTTTTCTTCACTTCCGAGCACTTTTTAACCAGCACCTAAGTTGCTGTTAACAATTTAATTGGTACCGACGGGGATCCAAACGAGGTTGGTCGCGTTCTGTGCAATTTATAGCAAGCGTTTAGTCCTTGAGCCACTACGGCTATATATTATATAGTACCCTCAGTATCCGTCACGTGGATGCCGATCCGTAAGCATTCTACTACTGGAGATAGGCGTCTCCCAAACTACAAAAAATAACCGTAACAGTAACGGTTTGACGAATTAACGCTTGTGACAGTTGTTGTAGATTGTGATAGTTCAAATTATGACACGAATTGTTAAATATCTTGTTCTTTCACACCCCTCTTACATTAGGACCCCTGGATATATACTTCTGTGAAATACCAATGATAGAGTCAGCTGGAGCCTGGAGTATACCATATACATACATGATAGAACACACAATACAGTTGTAGTATGTCTGTGGAACGAATGGGTGTTGACTGTGTGCTCGTTTGTCACCTTCACTTCCATATAAAAAAAACAAGAATTCAATATTTGCTCACATCTCTAGGCTCTTATGTTACACTGTTGAAAATAAACAATATTTCGCTAGTTCAAGTGAGTGAATGTAATATGAAATTCAGTACGTTAGGGCTAACAATAATAAATAAATAATAAAAAATATTTATTTCATTTCGAATTACACATGTTGACATACAGGAAACAAAATGATTACAATTAATAAAGTAACAATAAGTCTAACAAAAGTAACATGCTATGATAAAATTAAAACTATGTGTAGCTTAATAATGTAGAATCTACAAAAGAAGATAGAAAATTCATATTTATAATATTAGCTACCTGCCTGAACTAGGTTGAGTACCTGTGTTTCAGACAATGGATAGAGACCGATAAAACCCCGAGTATGGCAATGCCGAAATAAATCTAAAACCCAGTATGGAAATCCGGAATATAAATCTCCTTTCGACAACTGATAAATAAAACTTCGACTGTAAATGTACTGGGAATGAAATATGTATGTTTGTGTGTGAGTGCGTGTTTAGTCTCGTCCAAAGTAGGTAGGTACTTATCTTAGGTATTAATTAGTTCGAGAACTAGTGAAATGTATTTTAAAGGTCACGAGACCAACAGAGATACCTCTATCTTTTTGAAAATTAGCTGATATAATGAGTGTGGATGGGGTGAATAATATCCTTAGATATTGCCAACCTCTTTAGAGCGATGTTCTCTGTGAAGTCTATACTGAGGTCACCTTCTTGTGAATCGGTGCACGATGCTGAGATAGTCACTGATGAAGTAGGGGACAGAATTAGTGTAAAAGAGGTCGCAAATATCATAAACTCTATGTCCAAGGGTAAGTCTCCAGGTCATGATTGTCTCAGTATCGAGCATCTACAGTATGCTGGCCCACATATACACCGGTTACTGGCTATGTTCTACACTACATGTATAAGGCATGCATATCTGCCCCCTGATCTAATGAAGACCATAGTAGTACCAGTGGTAAAAAATAAAACGGGTGACTTGTCAAAGAAATCTAACTATAGACCAATATCCTTGGCAACCATCATAGTAAAGATATTGGACAGTGTGCTTAATACGCAAATTAATAAATATCTAAAACTGTATGACAATCAGTTCGGATTTCGTTCCGGACTGTCCACAGAAAGTGCAATACTTTGCCTTAAGCACACTGTCAAATATTATATTGATAGGAAAACACCTGTCTACGCGTGTTTCCTTGAACTGTCGAGGGCATTTGATCTGGTCTCCTACAATATATTGTGGAAAGAATTAGAGGGCATTAAAGTACCAGGTCGATTGATACAGATTTTAAAATATTGGTATGGGGGACAGGTCAATTGTGTTAAATGGGCAAACGCTTTGTCTGAACCATACCGGTTAGAGTGCGGGGTGAGACAGGGTGGACTAAGCTCACCTAGTCTCTTTAATCTTTATATAAATGGACTTATAGAGGCGCTTAGTGGCATGCATGTCGGATGTCATATAGATGGAATTTGTGTAAACAACCTGAGTTATGCAGACGACATGGTGCTTTTAAGGGCATCAGTATGTGGGTTAAGAAAATTGTTAAGTGTTTGTGAGGCATTTGCGACCGAACATGGGCTGAAGTACAATTTAGAAAAGGTCAGTATATGATCTTTGGGGCCGTACGGGACCGTACGAGTAATGTGCCTCCCATTAAATTAAACAATACACCATTAACTAGGGTAGCATCTTTTAAATATTTAGGTCATATGGTTACGTCCGACCTCAAGGATAATACTGACATGAAAAGGGAACGTAGGGCTCTGTCAGTTCGAGCAAATATGATTGCTCGCAGGTTCGCGCGATGCTCAAGAGATGTTAAACTCACTATATTTAGAGCGTTTTGCACATCTCTTTACACGTGCAGCCTATGGAGGGACTACACGCAACGGGCCTATGGATCCAATATAACAACGCGTTCCGGGTGCTGATGGAGCTGTCCCGACGCTACAGCGCATCAGCGATATTTGCTCAAGCTCATGTAGATTGTTTTTACGCAACTATGCGTAAAAGAGCTGTATCTCTGGTGCGCAGGGATAGGTCCAGCCCCAACGGTATTCTAAAAATGTTAAGTGACAGAGTATACGGTCTCTATTTGCAACACTGTTGTAGAATGCATCTGCCCAGCAACCAATTGTAAATATATAATAATAATAATAATTTTAATGCATGTATCCAGTGTTAATATAAACTAGAGTATTTAATTTAAATTTTATAATAATCATAATTCTGAAAAAGTTAATGTAAGAATGAGTCCTAGATACTTGAAATGAAATAAATAAATGAATAAAATAATTTTTTCCATGACTATAATATTCTATGACTTCTACTTCTAAGATTTTATCTACCTCGTCAAAATTATTATAATAATTCGTAATTCGTTCCGTACTTATACTTTAATAGACAGATATGTATTTACTAATAAATACATATTTGATAGAAACTGAATTCTTATTATATATAATATTAAAACTATAATAAAAAAAAACTAAAACTAGTAACTTAATACAGTCCTACTCCCCGCGGTATCGTGTCAAGAACGCTTTCTGCCCGTTCCCCGCTGAATGGCTATACTTAGCCTTTGAGCGAGAAAAGAATCAGCCCTCTTATCACCTGCAGCAACGACCAGCCGCGGATGTAGTTCCTTTAGGAACTTCACCGCACGTGGACCCCACAGACCGATAGTCTATACAGCAAATGGCACAAATATGAGGTCATCTCTCAGAGACTCATATTTGCGCAACTTCCTCAGTTCAGCTGCCTCTGATGCCGTTCTAAACGAGGTACCCCTAAGATGAGAAGCCTCCAAAGTGTCTACGCAAGTAGCATCCCACACAAGGGCTTTACCTCTCTCCCAAGGGACCAATGTCATACCGACGGTCTCTTGCCATCGTATCTAAATATTCCAAGGCTCTAAAACCGAGGGAACATTTATAGAGACAAGAGCCCTTCGGATGACATCGTTCAAGGAACCGTGCCGTGAAAACCTACCAGCACTTTTCTCACATGTAAGTCCGTGGAGCCCAAACTTGTCGTCGCTGCTACCACAGGGGCACTGATGAGGTTGACAAATCGCTACTCCTAATCGGATTCCTACGGCGATGCGCAAGCTTTTCCAATCAAGTAATATGCCGAGATTACTTGATGGTACCGTGAGCCGTGGTAGCTCAGATGGTTAGCGCTCGCTGTAAGCTTCGCAGTATGCGAGCAACCCGGGTTCGATCCCCGCCGGCACCAATGAAATTGTTAATTGCAATTTTAAATGCTGATTTACCACGTGCTCGGCGGTGAAGGAAAACATCGTGAGGAAACCTGCATGTCTGAGAAATGAGAAAAAACATATTTCGAAGACATGTGAAGTTCGCCAACACGCATTGGGGCAGCGCGACGGACATTTCCATGCCCTAAAACGCTCTCAGAAATGAGAGGAGGCCTGTGCCCAGCAGTGGGACGTAAATAGGCTGCAACTTTACTTTACTTTACTTGATGGTAAAGTATGTGTAACCAGTGACTAGATTCCTTACTTGAAACAGTTAGAGGGCGTGCCTTATCGTGGTCACTATGGAAATTATGTAACAATTGTTATTGATATGAGATCGTAGTACGGGTTTATTCGAACTAATTGACCTACTAACCTCTTTTGGCAGTGTTTACTTAATAATAATAAATTGTTTAGATTGAAACATTTAATACGCTTTAAAATAAAAACCATGAATTAACAATTATATTTAAAGAAAATGAGAATTAATTAATGTTTCATTGATTGAAGGTTTTTTTTTAGATTCTTCGTAAATTATGAAAATGCATATAATTAAAAAAAAAATTGATAGGCGATACATACAAAGTAGTATTAAATAAAAATCTTATTTGTTTATGCTTTATAGAACCTTACATAAACTAAATAGAATCAAAAGGCGATCTGAATGCTAAAAGCATTCTATGCCAGTCAATTCAACCTTAGTTCAGAGAAAACACATCGATGGCGGTTACAAAGAACAGGAAAATAAAAAGTATACTACAAAATACATGATATACATACTTAATTAATATAAAAATAAATGAATTACCTATAAGATACATATACTAGTTAACGAGGAAAGAATAATGATGAGAACTTAGCAACTTTATGTCATTTTATAATACAAAAAAATTAATTAAAATAATTCAGGGGCGTGCCTTCGTACGACGGTGCAGGTACTGCGTTGGCCACCTTTTGACCACTTTGGTTGTCGGTTTTACTAGCAATAGGGCCAGCCCATTGTCCCTTCAACTTACAGGTTATTCATTTACAAAGCGCAGTTTAAAATGGGCTGCCACTATAACGATCTAACAAGGCGTACAGGGTGCTGCAGTCGGATGCTTGGCGGTCCACGACTGTGCGTTTTACTAGGAGTTTTCTTCTTCGTACAACTTCTTTGTGGGATTGTTTATCACCGGCGATTTTTCCGGACCGATACGACTTAGGGACCTTCAAGAAAAGAGCTTACACCTTTCTAAAAGACCGGCAACGCATCTGCAATTCCCCTGGTGTTGCGGTTGTTCATGGGCGGCGGTAGTCACTTACTATCAGGTGAGCCGCATGATCGTTTGCCCCCTCTTCTATAAAAAAATGTAGATGGCTCAGGGTGGAGTTTTGTGGTAACATTTGGGAATAATGGATACCCATGTTCGACGTTAGACGACATTATTTTTTTCTTACAATGACCTCATTCAAAATTAAACTTGTACACCTGGATCTTATTAAGAAATGCTGTGCTTGCTATATACAATGGAATAAGCTTGATCGTGAATATGGCCCCTCTCACATAGAGCAAACAAGAATATTAATTACAACCCGCGTAAAGAAGCACATAGCTGACTTAGTATCAACGCTCCGGGAATCCCACGGTCTGTAAACTTGCTCAGGATGGCCCCGGTAGTTAGAACATCAGATGTGTATCAGATGTGTTCCTTTAATTTGGACCAATCGTAGTTTTTGAAATTAAAATCTAACTTCAATTGATAAGATAGTTGTGTGACACCATGTGAATATTTTTATAGAATAAGTGTGACAAACAAGCACACTGTTTACCTGATAGCAAGTGGCTCCTCTCTCTGATCACATCTAGACTATATCCTCGGTTGAGAATGTAGCTGAATGTGTAGATATTCTAATGGCTTAGATACTTGAAAATAAAGGTTCACGGATTGTACGGATTTCGCGTTTAATTTGACTTATTTTAATTTCCGACATTTCGGGTACTTTACAGCATTCATGGTCACGGAGGGGGAGGGGGGGAGGGGACTGATGCCAAAGTTTACCTACAGCTACCAATCTATTGACACTTCACTTACTGGTATGAGACTGCCACTCAAGAATCTTTTTCCTAAATAACATAAGTAAATTTTGCTTTATTATAATTCATAATTTCGGAGCAGGTCCGAAAGATATCATCATATACGTTACATTCCAGGACATGACTTTTTTTTACTGATAGATTTTTTAGAATAAAGATAGCTTGCTAGCCTTACTCTATAAAAAAAAATCAAATTAAGCATTTACTACTCATCAAGCAACAACAATGCAAGGAGTAAGTATGAAATATTTAGACCTTGCACGAACGATGATCGAGGATACAAAATAAGTGCAAATATTGTAATGTTGCCAACACAGTGTGACACGTAGGATCAGGTGACTGCAATCATACCCCATTATACACATTGGATAACGTTGGCGCCAAGTCACCTACTGCGTCAGGTCATGTACCTTATGTTATAGTATTTACACATTATAGCAAGCAAGCAGACTCGATGGCGCCGTTACAGTTGCTATCATCCGGGTTATCTATATTTAGTTATCGCATGGTTTAACACTATTTGCAGTGTAGAGTGTAGAAAACCTTACGTCATTTAATGAATGAGATACATCGGACTCTGTTAAATGTGACGGGGAATTTAGAGCGTGAAATGACAATGGGACAATGGAATAATTATTATTTGTTCGCTGCGTTAACGCGACATTAACGCTAATGCACAAGTGACATTTATAGGAATGTTGAATATTTGAATATTATCAGAGAATATAATAATCAAATAACGTATTTATGCTTTGATGTCATATATTAATTCTTAAGTAATACCACATGAGTAAAGAAATCGACCAGACGCAATGCTTCATACAACCGCGCTATGTTACGTAATAGTTTCAAATTATCAATCGAATGGCCTAATAGTCAGTGGACATGGCTACTACGCTCTTGGTCTTGGGTTCGAGCCCCAGTCAGAGGCAACATATTTATCAACAATTCTAATTGTAAGTGCTTCAGATCTGTGTATTTTTTTCGTGTTTGTGACATTGCATACTGGTATACCATCCAATCTTAGCGTATAGCTATACCCCAATATACGAAACGAAGATTTATTGTTTGTTGAAAATTAAAAAAACTGAGTTGTCATGAACATGATGTAATTCAGTTTACAGCTAAGTTGAAATAGACGAAGTCAATAAAACAAACAAGAAGTACTGGAGGACATTATTTGGATGTGTTGTTTGTATTGTAGGTATGCTATTTTCATAAAAAAAGTTTGTATTTTTTCTCTATCAAAGGGCAATTTCATAGCTAAGGACTCATCGAATTTTAATTAAAAGGCATTATCTTTTTTCGAATATTCATTACAAGAATCTTAATTTAAACCTAATGTAACCTTGCGTATAGTATGGTATGATAATAATGTCCTCCAGACCGAATTGCGGTCACGGTGGTCAGTGATAACGGCGAATAGGGCAGGATTATAGTGCCGGAGTGTATGCCCAAACAGGTGCACTCTCTATTCTTTTATTCTCATTCCGATAAGACGGTAATCCGGCACGACTGGATAGAGATCAGTCGTAGCACCAACAGCTTAATGTGCTTTCACTGGCACAAGGAAGTAACACCGCCAACTTCCTGACTCCAGACTACTGAGATTTTTTTTGTCATATAAAACCAATAACTGATTTTGGCCCGACTCGGTATTCAAAACCGCGACCTCATGATTAGTAAGGCTTACGAGGCAATTGTATAGTATTAGATAATGTGGAGGTGCTCCTTGTCTTTTTAACCGACTTTAAAAAGGAAGAGGTTCTCAATTCGAGTGTATGTTTTTTTTTGTATGTATGTTACGCGATATCTTCGCAGATTGTGAACTAATTTTAATGATTTTTTTTATTACATAGGCTGTACCTCAAAGGTGGTTCCATTAAATTTTGAAGAAAGAATTCCTTACGCCTAGGATGGAAATAGGTGAAAAACTTTCATATTGTATCATTTCACATCTTCGCAGATTGAGAACCGATTTTAATTATTCTGTTTTTATTTAATAGGTCATACTTCAAGGGTGGTCCCATATAAATTTGGAGAAAATATTTCATCCCTAAGGGTAGCAAATAAATAACTTCTTCCTTAGCAATTTAAAGTCCGATTTTACTTTTTGTTAAAAGTTATAATTATTGGACCTACACTCCTTACTACAATGTGTTATTATGTGCGTTAATTAAAGTTATTAACGAGTCTGTCTGCTACTACCGTCCATTTGCCGATAGGTCTTATCTATTTCTATCTTTTTATGTGTACGGTTGGAAAAAATATGTACCGACGACTTACATTCTAGTTCTCAGCGATGACAAGGCATACGATTACAGCAGCCGACGTAGCATACCTATGAGGTATGCTACATGGGCTGATGTGGCCACTCTCACTTACACTTACACCCAAGTTAATCAATAACTGCCGTATAATCGTTGACTATCACTAATAAATTAATTATAAATTTTCTTTGTACTTGTCTCTTTCTATTGTCATTAAGTGAAAAGAGAGAGAGAGAGAGAGAGAGAGAGGGAGAGAGAGAGCAACTGTCGATTTTTATGAGTAAGGTTTATTAGTGTGTGAAAAGGCGTTATTAAAAGCCGACAATAAAAATACAGACAAGATTATACTTTTAATAAAAAAAAAGTAAATGCCGACTTAAATGGACTAAAAGGAATAAAATATTTTTCGCATAATAGCTTCAGAAGTCGGTGTTAAGACAGTCTTAGACTTCTGAAGCTTTTATTCAAAAATTGTTTCATCATTTTCAGTTCTTTGAAGTCGGCTTTTGTTTTTTATTAATATTCTTATTTTTGACCCTTTTAAAGTTATCTGAATTAAAAACTTTATTCCCACAAGTTTAGGTTCGAAATCATTTTCTCGAAGTTTGTATTAGACCACTGAAGTATAGCCTATTTAAGTAAAAACAAAAGAATCATTATACAAATCAATCAATCAATGTAATTTGTTTAATTAATACAGTCTGATGAAATTTCAGATGTGGATGTATTTTAGGTCAAGCCTTCCCATTTACTCATGCTATTTGTTGTCCTAAATATTTCTTTTTACATTGCATCCATGATTTATAAAGGCATGATATAAGTGCGAGAGAGGTGTATCAGGATAGTGCCAAATGGAAGTCCGTAGTTCCAGTCTACTCTTCTGTGTGACAGGCATGTATTTTTATGTATGTACATATATTGTAGTCAATGGGTCAAAGCATTCAATTATTGTCAAGTAGAACTGTGTGCTCTATAGATTGAAAACCGTTTTCGAATTTCTTTAGTACGGTTTTTCGTTTAGGTTCATATAAGTGGGAATTTTGTCAATTATAGTTTTTTTTTAGTTGTTATCAGGAAAACGCTGTTGCCCATCTCTTAATTTCCCTCTTTCACATCTGCGACACCCACGTGACGATATGGAGTAGTGGATATTTTTACACCGTCACCGTAAGATACCGATTACAAAATATCAAAGTCTCAGGTTGTAAGTTGAAGTCGTTCATTACGTTGTAGCTTAGATTTGTTTTCATATTATTATGTATATTTTTGTAATTTTTAATAGGACAAAGAAGTATATAATGGTACCAAATTTTTAATATATGGGTTTTCATTTCGTTTCTCTTTCCAGTATCAAAAGATAAAACCATTAAATACTGGTGTGTTTATCACCATTATTATATAAACATGTGATAAAATTAAAAATTTTGTGCAACCGACTTCAATATAAATTATTAAGGATAACTCGAAAACTACTGGTCATACCTTGATCAAATTTATATGGGACCAGATGAGAAGCACCAGCTTTTAAATAAGAATCATCAAAATCAGTTCACCTATAAAAAAGTTATGTGGTATAACACACAAAAATAACATACAGTAGAATTGAGTACCTTCTCCTTTTTGAAGTCGGTTAAAAATGATAATTTCTTATGACAATTTTAAAAGTCTGTCATTAACATTTGCGATAGTATAACTGTTACATTTAAGTTCAAATATATTATTCTTTATGACAAGAAATTAAGCAACTCGAATGTTTTCGGATGTCTGCCAATGTGCAAGGAAGCAGCGCGGTGAAGCGTGGGACATAAATACAACATTTATTGCTTCTAAGAAAATGTCGTTGATTAGCATGCGCAAACAATAATAATGCTTGTATTATTCTAAAAGCAAACATATTTTTATAGAATAAGGGTGACACATGAGCACACAGTCCACCTGATGGTCAGTGGATGCTGTAACCCATTGGCATCTACATCTATCCTCGGTTAAGAATCAAAATAAGGATGCGCTGTCACCCCTGAGGACTAATAATGACTACCACGTTCAGACTATCCTGATGACCCAGGTACGCATCAAAGAACTAATTGCTGTATAGAATTATAGGGGTAAAATGAATTCAATAGGCTAGAAAGCCAGTATACTATAGGCGATGAGAAATTTCATCATAATTTTCAGGGGTGGCAACGCATCCGTGGTATTCTTTGTTTAAAGCTGACTGCAGATGACCATGGTCGCAGTAGCTTAGTAGTTGTTTAATACTGTAATATATAATTATAAAAAAATGTATATAGAAAAATATAAAATATATTGTGTGTCGTTTAAGTTTATCAAGGCTCCAATTCACTTATATATACAAGTATATGAAAACGTTAATACATTAAATCTTTAGTTTACTCGTATCCGTTTATTAGGTTTTGATAGATGTCGTGGATTTGATAGACCTACAAGTCATTATAAATTTATAATTCTATATCTGATAAAGAAGATTTATTAAACCTCCTAAACCAAACCCTATTAAATATATATAGAGAAAGATAATAGAGAGGTTTTTCTAGATGGTAGGACTGTCTACCTTAGAAGTCCAACTAGATGGGTAATCTCTCTAACAACCTCTCACCCAATTACCTATTTCTGGCAACCAATGCAGTCACAGTATAAATATATATAAATATATATTTATACTGTGATGCAGTGCTTGTACTGTTGCGTTCGGGTCTGAGGGGTATAACGCAGTATAATTTCATGCTGTGAGCGATTCCATCTTGGTCCTCAGAGGGGACAACGTCGTATTTGTAGCCTCCTTTGTGTGTAGTAGGCTTTAGGAGTCCATGGACTGCAAAAGCAACACTTACCATCAGATGGATTGTAAGTTTGTTTGTCACTTCGTTTTCATAAAAAAAGAAGATGACAAAGATTCTAAGAAACAAGTATACGTTTAATACTGAATTATAATTCCAGCTTAGTATTAAATAAATCTTTATAAATATATCGTGCGGAATTCTTTAATTAAAATACAACCGCCGCAATGGGCAGCGACGTGGAAAATGTTCCATTAGTCGGCGCCCGGCTGAGCGCGTGTGAACGCGAACTCATTTCCCGTTGCGATTGCAGGGCGGAAGCGGAAACGACTCCAACTCTTCGATGTCCAACGGCTCATCTGCAACCTCGCCGGCTTCGGGAACCCCGCCCAGCATACAAAAGGTAATGCAAATAAACAACCATTTTTCTGTTTGAAAATAAAGAAATATTATGTATTTTCTCAAGATGCCAATCCTCATCTGGCGGTTCGAAAGATTGAACACGGACGGTTCTCTTGGTCTATATTAATGGCAGAAACTACAATGCGAAACCCGAATTTCACAATCTTGTTATGAAGGACTAACCTAAGGTAGTTTAGTCCTCCAGTGTACGGCAATTCTAAAAAGGTCATTCTAAAAAAGGCCAGTGAGGAAGACTCATTAGCCTTTTTATGTTTTCAAGTTTACAAAACCTTAACAGAGTTTTGAGAAGACTTGTTCAACAACTATATTAACATGATATTATACTGAGAAATAACTTAGTTAGGTTAAAGGTAAGGTTAAGGTACTTTTACTTGGTGGCACCATTCCTTTTCTGTCTAGAAGTTAATCTGGGTAAATACGACCTATTTCTGCCACCAATAAGCAGTGCTTGCACTACTATGTTCTAGTTTGAGGGCATAGAGAACCAAATTACAAACTGTGAGACTTTCCACCTAAGTGCACACAGGTGCCGCCGTATCAGTAGCCTTCGTTGCTTACTTACAATTTGGTAAATTGTTTGTTTGTCACTACAGTTTTATAATGAAATGATATTTCTTTCTGCCTTTTAAAACACCTCGTCCTTCTCTAAGTTCGTAAACATGGGTAATAGAAACAGGATTTGGTAGGCGGACTAGCGCTTGCTTCTTATAAACGGTCTGTTAATTTTATAAAGAGTAAAAATATAAACGTTACAAGGTTAGACCGCCATTTGTTCGAAGGCCACACATAGTAGTTTTTTATATCGCTACTACATATAGCATCATTTAGCACAGCTATAACAAAAGCTGTAATTTATCGTTAATCGTAAATAGCGTTCTCATTGCGCAATCATGTCACATCCTGCATCTGTGTTTCTATTTTAACATTTCTTTAGTACCATCGAGCGTATGTTTTATTCAAATTGCTACTTACGACTATACAACCATCTGTTACACTTTGCGATTCCGGGATATTCAAGGTCCTGTTTTGAGTTCACTTTATCAGATTTTATAAAAAAAGGGAACAAAACCCGCGCATTTTATTTTATATTTTAAAGCGAGCATTGCTTGTGCTTCTATCTTCTATATGATAACATATACTATTGTATGGCATCCATTACGCTATAACAGTCCACTGCTGAACATATACATTGCCTTATAGGTAGGGTTTTGCCATAGTTGCCATGTTTGGCAGACGGTTTGGCAACTGCAGTTTTTTTATTATTTTAAGTTGTTATTAAGAATCATCTCCTGTTTTAGTTTCCTTCCGTCATCTCTTACGACACACTCGTGACGATATTGGTTAGTGGATATTCTTATACCACCACTACACGATTAAGGATAACATCGTTATGGAACCTGAATATCTGATAATTTAAAATTAATAGGAAATGTGAAGTCTGCCTATACACATTGGGGCAGCGTGTCGAATGTTTACCTGCCCTAAAATCCCCTTACGGACGAGATGAGTGGAGGCCTCAAAACGGTTGTGGGTCGTATGTAGGCTGTTGTTTTGCTCTTTTTACTTTTTATAAAAAAAAAACAAATATGAACATTTTATTAATTAATAATAAAAATAAATTTATAACTAATAATCATAAAAATAATTTTTAATTTAATCTGTGTATTAATGTTTTTATTGATTACTTTTTATTTTAGTGTAGTATATTATTACATACACATATTATAGTCATACATACAAGTCACACATACTAGTACATTGTATTCCAACATTAACGCTTTTTAGCGGACTTCAATGAAAGGGGATGTCTCCAATTCGACTGGATTTTTTGTGTGTATGTTATGCGATATCTTCTTCAATTGTGAATTTGCACAAGTTCCAGGTCCTGTATACGACGTTTCAATGCTGGGCACAGATCTCCTCTTATTTCTAAGAGATTTTTTTTAATTTCTCAGACATACAGGTTTCCTTATACCAAACACATAGTACACGGGCACTTAAAATTGTAATTAAGAATTTTATTGGTGCCAGCAGGTATTGTCCTCGGGTTGCTCGCATTCTACTGAATTTACAGCGAGCTAGCCCCTTAGCGGCCACGGGACATAGTTTATCTATTGAATTCCCAAGACTCCATAGTGGAAAAATGTCTATTATGAACTATCGAAGACTTTTTGCTTTCGACTCCATAACAATGGGCGGGCGTTCAAATGTGGGAAAAACAAAACAATTCTTCGTGATTATTACAATTGCAATTGTATATAAATTGCAATTGCATTCGCCTGTACCTATTTGTATAATTGAATATACATACCTACATATGTAGATGCATAATTACACACACCTAGACCTACAGTCGTAACCTTGTTGAATTCACTCGATCAAAGTATCGGCCGTGAATCATTGCAGTGTAAAAAATCTAAAATCACGATATCAATAAGTTCCGATACACGTTTAGATAGGTATGTGCAAAATAATGGACAAGGTTTTTCAAGTATTTGCATGATATTATAATCCGACGTTTTAAATTGCTCAGCTCCTGTCATAATTTTTCCTTACGGTCCAAGCAAATTCACCATCGCACATCGCGACAAAACTTGCTATACCATCTATACCACCTGGATGATTGGCGGTCCACCACTATGCGATTTAGAAGATATTTTCTTCCTCGCTCAACTTCCTTGTGGAATCGTTTACCACCAGCGATTTTTCCGGACAGCTACGACTTAGGGGCCTTCAAGAAAAGAGCCTACTCCTTTTTAAAAGGCCGGCAACGCATCTGCAATTCCCCTGGTGTTGCAGTTGTTCATGGGAGTCGGTAGTCACTTACCATCAGGTGAGCCGCATGCTCGTTTGCCCCCTCTCCTATAAAAAAATATTTCCCTCCAATGTCCCTTGCCCTCCTCGACGTTTTATGATAAATCCTTCTCTGTTCTTGGAGTAAGACTTTAGAATTCCTTATAACAATCGATTAAAAATGCTCAAACCTCAAATGTGTTCAAGAAACAAGTTAAGGAACACTATTTGTCTCTCTAACACCTCTCTCTTCCTCCTTTTATTTATGGTTATTGATCTACCTAACGAATGATGTATTTACAACCGACTTCAAAAAAAGGAGGTTCTTAATTCGACTGTTTTTTATGTCTTCAGAATCTCAGAATTTTTTTCTAGGTGAACCGATTGTGATGATTCTTTTTTTTTATTTGAAAGCTGTTGCTTCTCTTGTCGTCCCATATAATTATATGTGACCGGTAGTTTTTGATTTATCCTTAATAATGCGCATAATTACTTGACTACGACTACGTTGATGATGTTCTCCTTTTATTTATATCGAAGTCGATTATACAAAATTTTTAATTGTACCTCTTGTTGGTGCATACGATGGTCCTTTCTTACTTTAGTGCACCTTACCTGTTAATATGTCTTTTATTTTTATGTAATAATTTGTCTGGGTTGTCTGGAATAGATTATTTAGCAATAAGACCGCCTTTTGTTTTTTCTTTCCTTGATGTACAAAAAAGATTATTTGATTTGATAATTCAGTTGCTTGCATTGAACGATTGTCCATATTAAAAAATTTAATCCACGTGGTAGAGCTATGCCGCAACTATATTATACCTGAATAACGAATGGTTCGGTTCAACTCGGGAAGGACCACGCTCTTACAGAATATCGAATAAAACCAAAAAATAGCAGCTCAATGCTGCTGTGTTTTGTATGGTGAGTGTAGAGAATCGGAGACCATTTTTACTGGAAACGAGGCATTCTATCTAAGTTTTAAGGTGTGAAAACGAATTTATATCCTGATACTTAATAGAGGATAGATGTAGATCTCTATGAATCACAGCAAACACTATATTATTCTATAAAAATATATTATTGCAACCATTTCCATATTTAAAATATGCAAATGGTTGCAATAATATTTTTTTACAAAACTTTCGCATATCTTAAGCTGTTGTAAAAAGTTGCTGAGTAATCAATACACATTTCAAGGCACGCGAAACACTCGTTTTAATATCGATTATTATCAAAGAAAAGTTACTTAGTTTCAATAGCTTTTTATTTATTATTGCTTTTTATAAACGTTATGATGCGGTAGGTAGAGTAGGTTCAAAATTGTTGGAAATAGAGATTGTAAGACATTTCAATAAGAAGCAAGTGATTCACAAATGTTACCTTTAAAATGATTAATAGAATTAATAGTCTCACGCGATGCTTTGTGGAAATCCGTTAAATTAGATGTTAAAATTAATTAAATACAATCCGCGTAAAAACTAAAAATGGTGTGTCTTACAAAGTTTGAAGAGCACCTCCCGCCCTCCCACAATAATGTGTACTATCGCCGTTAACACTAATCCTAACATCACTAGACCACCTAGCATGAATACCGGCCAGCCATCGCTGTGTCTATGTCTCCTAATGATATCGTGTTAAGAGGCAAACACTTATTATTGACGGTGGTGTGTCTTTCTTAGTGTAGTGGTATTACGAATGATTGTGTTGGGATTAGTGATGACGGGGATAGTGCACGCAATTGATGGAGGGCGGGACGTGATCTTTAAACGACATCGTTTTTATTTTTATGTAGATTTTAGGTAAATTATTTTAAAAATAGCAGCTTAACGCTGCTGTGTTTCGTATAGTGAGTGTAGAGAACCGGAGACCCTTTTTACTGGAAATGAGGCATTCCATCTTAGTCCTCACGGGTGACAACGCATCTGCATTTTGATTTGTAATAGAGGATAAATGTAGATGTCTATGGGCCGCAGCAACCACTTACCATCAGGTGGACTGTGTGCTCGTTTGTCACCCTTATCTTATAAAAAAAAAAAACGTTACAAATCTTCAAATTTTCATTATTATTTATCATATCAATCCAATACAATACGGTTATTCAAATTTTCCTGTTAGTTTTTTTTTATAAAACTCAAGAGATAAAAGACTTTACAGCCCACCTGAAGGTTAGTGGCTATTGCAGCCCATAGAAATTTGCATACAAATTTAAACAAATATACATATATACACATATAATATATAACATGGTGCTCTATACCCTTTAGACCGAAACACAAGAAGTGCATGCACTGCTGCTTTTAGGCAGAAATGAGTGGTTCCTGCGCCTACAAAAGGGAGTAATTCCACCTATTATAAATATTAAACCTTTGACGAGGGTCTTCCCGGCAATTCCTTTAATCGGCGCATACGACATTCTATTAGGTATAAGTAGTTCTCTAAAGCCACCAATCATCACATGTTTAAATTTCCAGAATAATCAAATTGAATTTAAAATAATCTAAAGACTAAAGTAAGAAAACATGAAAATGCGCTCGATTCTAGTGAAAGCATCATCTCGTTAATATGTATCATTGGGAATGTTGCTCACGTTACCAATTTTCTTTTCCAGACGTGTTCGGATCTAATCAAGGCTGGTTTGAAGTTGTCTATAGAGTCAAAGCGGAAGATGTCAGGCAGCGACACCGACGGAGGAATCAAGCGATTCAAAAAGGAAGAGAGTGATGAGGATTACGATAGCAGTCACACGCAAACAGTCAAAAATGAAGGGGTACGGTAGCAATTTATAATACTCAATACATTATTTATAAGCAAAAAGTTAAGTCATTGGTTTTTAGTCTATAAATAAAACATGGGCTTGTTGAAATACAATAATTTTAATTAGTTACCATATTATTTGGACGCCGTGCCCTCTAGGGCGCGCATTCTAATAGGCTTTAGCTTATTTAGTTTGTGGGGTAAGTCAGGCCTATTTCTATACAAGCCATTTTCATCCCTAGTCACTTTGTAACTAAAGTTGCAAGTAATTAATCTAAATATTTGGGATTGTCTCGTTTTTCAGCACATGTTCGTAATTTTTGACGTTGACTGAAAATATTAATGTAATTACATTAAAATGTAGTTCATTCAAAGGACGCAAGCTAGACCTTAGCTATGTAATCTTGTTAAATATTTTTTTATAGATTTGTTGCTATACTCTATACAATACAATGGAAAAGTAGACTTGGTAAAATAAACTGATTTTCAATCATAAGCCCTAACTACATTTATATTAAATATACCAATGAGGGTAATACCAGGAACACAGATAGGCCAGATCGCGAATCGTTACTAAACCAGCTTTTATAGCTACCACCAATGCATTATAATTCAACGGCTTTATTGAAGTTTTATAGGCTTACAAAGGTGGCCAGCATTGCAAATGCGGCTGAGTTCGTGACAAAACTTGTTGATTGAAAGTTAGTGACTTTGTGATTAGAAATTATGATACTGGACGCAGAGTGATAGAAGTGATGTTATATTATTATTTATTCAACAGCTGACCCCGGAAGACGAGGAGCGAAGGCGGCGTAGAAGAGAACGGAATAAAATTGCAGCAACAAAATGTAGAATGAAGAAACGCGAGCGAACAGTCAACTTAGTAACAGAGAGTGAAGTTTTAGAAAACCAAAATATAGACCTCAAAGCGCAGCTTAAGGTAATTTATCTTTCATCAGTATTCCTTACTACTAAAAATCATAATTACCACTTTTTGTACAACTCTTTGAAATATAAAACATAATAATGGATTTGTTGAAGGTCTACTACTATCGCTAAAAATTTAAATGGTTTAGGCAACGAATATCTAGCATTAAAAGTACGAGTAATCTCCCTTCGTATCAAACACTGATATACTGATTATGTATGATTACGTGGATATGATATGTTTACAAAACATACGTCGCACGGATAAGGAAATTATGTTTTTACTTTTTATGTGATATCAAGATGTACTACGAACTTTGGATTTTACTGGCCTTCAAAAATACATTAAAATGTTTTTAGTTTTTAATCTATTTTTAACTAATATCAAACGAACATGATATATAACTAAAAATCATAGAAATATTGTTCATATTCTTTTAAAATTTACAGCATAGATACCTACAGTAGTATGAGTAGTACAGTAGAAGTGATTAAAACAACCAAATGAATATTATTTCCTTGCTGAAATCAGCTTTCTAAGCCGTCTAATTTTTTATCGATACTCATAGATCAAAATGATCGCTGAGCGCCAAATCTAGGCTATTAAGCGAATAAAAAGTGGCCCGAACCCGTATTTAAAAAGAGAGCAGCTTGACAACACGCCGGTTCATATGAAGAACCTTAAATTTCTAAGGGGTAGTGTTGTACCCTCGTGCCACTGCATCGACTCTTGTATTGATTCAGGCTCAAAATGTTGAACTTATGTTTCATCTCCAGTCACAGTCACTAGTCCACTCAAATTCGCTCAAAAATTTGGCTACAAAACGGTCGCGGGACGCTTCGATTCGTTGTTGCTTTTGATTGATCATTCTTGTTATTATTTTTTTGACTTTTGGCATGCCGAGATTGTTGTGCAGGATACCCAAAAGGTGTATCTTTATTTACGTAGTAAGTGTTATCCTAACTGATGCAGTTAGTTGTAATTATTAAACAGGCATTCACCTCTTACGACACCCATAGAACGTCATGAACTGATGGTCGCCCTTATAACCTTTTTCCATACCTAATCAAAAGCAAATCTAAAATTAAACATATCTTTTACAGGATTTAGAAGTTCAAAAGCGGCAACTTATAGATATGCTGTCACTACATGCAGCGTCATGCGTGAAGAACAACAATCCCAATACGAGAACATCTCCACCAGCACAGTACAACATGATCCGTACATACGAACCGACATCATTCCCAGCATCGTTCGACGCTCAATCACCCTACATCCGACCGGAGTCCGCCAACATTCTCGCTTCCAGCTATACCTGCGTCACTCCCCTAAACGGAGACTCCTCCATAGACACAATATCCTCACTCGACACAACGTACATAACCCAGCAAATTATAGACGTCGACTACAACAGGCCGGACAGTGTTCTAAGTCTGCCACCCAATTCGGATCCTCATTACATCACCACCGATGGCTACATGCCGAAAGCAACGAACCTGCTCGTTCCAATCGAACACGAAGGGGAATATTATGAGACCGAAGTGAACTACAATTTATCGTCCGCCCAACCGTGCCATACTTATCCCGGTACGATCCCAGATGCTCAAACGAAAATCGGCAATAGCCTCAATGACGGTTGCCTCGTTTAGTCCCCTATTACAATTCGTCAACCTTCTCATCGGGTCCAAAATTCGTTTTGAAGTGTATACGTATATTCTTAAGAAATTACTAAAATTCGAAATATTGTCACCATTATTATATGTTTAATATATGTTGTTCGTTTTTATAACATACATTGTTATGACTATAAGCACCACCATATTTGTATGAAAAAGTGCGCCAGTTAAAGAGCAAGGGATTTCGAAACGTTACGTATGTCTACTGTGTAGAGCAACAACATAGAGTTAATTATGGTGCCTGTAACATAATATGAAGTATATTTAAGGTCAGTGGGCAATTTAAATGCCTTTTAAATCGCCGTAGGTGCTAAGATGAGTCTTCATAAAACTACTCGAAGTCACATAATAAAATATATTTATTTGTTTTTAATTTCAAATGTGTTGTGAAATAATAATTTCAAGTCATCTTTAAAACATTCAAATGCGACTGTGAAACAGTTGGTTAGGTGAGTACCTATTGTTTTATTTTTTATTAAGTCGGCTAACATGAAATCCGTATTCGTTTTATTTTTTAAGTTCTATAATTTTGCTTTGATCTGTGCAAAATATTTATCTTACATTTAGATCTGATTAATAAGTATAATGTCCAAGGTGCAATAGTCTAATCGTGAATGAAATTAATGATATCCAAACGTATTGTATAACGTTCAGTGTCTAGTCTATACCTAAGACACCAAATGATGTAAAAAAAAACATCACGTTAATAATATTTCCTTACAGTACAAGAAATAATAAAATATAATTAAATACCTCCTGTTGAAATTCCGAAAGTATATTGTCGTTACAGAAAAATATTCATATAAAAATGGAGTATTAATATTCCACATTTATACCTGTTATAAATATAAGCATAAGGTAATTTAGATTTAAGGACGACAGAAAAATATTCATATAAAAATGGAGTATTAATATTCCACATTTATACCTGTTATAAATATAAGCATAAGGTAATTTAGATTTAAGGTGCTTTAACTCAGATTAAATCGTGATATGATTATTGTAATATTATTACTTGTTATGAAAATAATGAGCTAATTTTTAAGTATTTTACATTAAAACAACATAACTTACATATTATTGGAATGTAGGGCACATAGTGTCGCTTTACGAGTCTTAAATTATTAATAAAATAACGGAAGTGCCTCCAATACGCCTACTGAAAAGCTGTTCACTTTTACCAAGTTATAATTTTAAAGTAATCGTGTTGTAACATAATATTACCAGTTAGATTAAGCTTATTTGTGCTGCGATAATTTGGAGCTAGATAGAGTACCTAACCACTAATGGTGATTTTAAACTCAGTTGTATAGCTATTGCGACTTGCATAAAAATCGAAGTTGTAATGTTAAGCACGCAATTTTCGCTAGTTATTCTATTTCACGATGAAGTTTTCACTTTGGTTGTTGTTGCCGTGCACATACACATTGTGTAAGGCCCGCCATATACATACGGAATTCCGTTTCGAGATTCCGTTTCGATATTCCGATTCGGAATTTCGAACGGTCGGCCACACACAAACGGAATCCCGTTTTGCCCGCAAAATATCGAACGGAAAACTACCGTACGTGTGTGGCGGGTCATAGATTTTATATGGACTTGCTGCGTTCGGGATTCCGAATCGGAATATCGAAACGGAATCTCGAAACGGAATTCCGTATGTATGTGGCCGGCCTAAGGCCCGCCATATACATACGGAATTCCGTTTCGAGATTCCGTTTCGGAATTTCGAACGGTCGGCCACACACAAACGGAATCCCGTTTTGCCCGCAAAATATCGAACGGAAAACTACCGTACGTGTGTGGCGGGTCATAGATTTTATATGAACTTGCTGCGTTCGGGATTCCGAATCGGAATATCGAAACGGAATCTCGAAACGGAATTCCGTATGTATGTGGCCGGCCTTACCAGTGAGTTTTAGCGCCCGAAGCCTACGCACACTAACACAATGTGTATGTGCACGGCTAACAACAACTAAGGTCAACACTTCATCGTAGGGATGGGCAAGGCAAAAAAATCGATATATATCAAATCGATATTTTTCAACAGTATCGATATATGTCGCCTGATAAATATCGAAATATCGATATATCGTCATCATTTGCATGATCTAAAGAATAGTTTCAAAATTTTATATTACCGACAGTTAGACGACGAAAGAAAAACGACAAACAACCACACATGAATACTTTTGTACCTCCTTTTGTTGTTAGATTATCGAAATTGATACGAATTCGATACTCTAAATTAATTATCGATATATCGATACATCGTGATTTTGAATATCGACGATATTTTTATAATAAAATATCGATATTTCGATATATCGATATTTTTGCCCAAGCCTACTTCATCGTGAAATAGAATACCAATATCATAAGATTAACGTCCAATAAATCATAAAGGTTAAATGTAAAAATTATGCAAATTTACAGAGACAGTGCCTTTTGCGTACCAGTGAACCTAGTCTATATGGCTGCCTTTGTTTAACAGTAAGTGCAAACAGCCAGTCGCGCAAGCATTTATTTTTATATTGTTATTGTGATAAAGTAGCGTACTTCCAAAATAAATAAATAAATAAGCACAATTTATTCTTGTTGATAATTTTCTTACCGATTCAAATTTATTCACGTTCCAAAAACATCGTTTTAGGATCATGTTGGTATATTATAAGCTTAATACTTTGTAAATTAATCTATTTGAGTAAAGTTTTATGCGAAAAATAATATTTTGTACACTTTGTGTAATTTATATTTTGCTATTGTTTTTTAACATTGTACCTAATTATAATGTTATTTAATGTTTGTAACATCACTATGTGAGATTTGGTATCTTCTCTGTAATCTTGCTTATAAGATTATCTTAGAACGGTACGTTTGTGACGGTATTAACTAGAGGTATACTATATAATTTTTAATTTTATCTATGCTTTATGCCAGTACTTGTGATAGTATATATCCAGATTCAAATGCTGTTGTGATAGAACCTGTTGGATTTGCTTTACGCGACTGGAACGTGTATTGTAAAACAACACAGAGAATATTTAATGAGGATTTTGCCATAGTTCACGCTTGGCAGGTGTCAACCACAGTCTTTTCCACCGACTTTAAAAAGGAGGAGGTACTCAATTCAACTGTATTTTTTTTTTGTTTTTTTTTATTTGTTACATAACTTTTTTCTAGGTGAACCGATTTTGATGATTCTTTTTATTTGAAAGCTGGTGCTTCTCATGTGGTCCCATATAAATTGATCAATGTATGACCTGTAGTTTTTGAGTTATCCTTAGTGATATATTAAAGTTGATTGTACAAATTTTTTAATTTTACCACTTGCTATTATTATGTTTTGTTTTGGAAGATGCTGCTGTTTATTCCCCATTTAATTTCCCTCTGTCGTCTCTTACGATAACTTCGGAATTATATTTATTTCTAGGGTTAGATTTTCTAACAATGATACTGCCCGGTTTTTATAGTATCATAAACTGATAGCAAGCGCTTAATGTATGCACCTACTTACAGACGTCCGTTAACGTATTAATTATTAGCGCTCCATTCAAAGTATTCCTATCCTAACAGCATTTGAATGAAGACAAAATATAACATTGCAGTTGAAGAGTTCACTGTATTATTAACAAATTATAATGACTTAAGGAATAATGTTATGATTTATGTATATTTCATATTATTTATAGTATTCTGAAGTTACGTGTTTTAAAAAAATATGCTTACAAGTTTTTAATCGGAAGTTAAAGTACGCAGTGTTACAAGTTAAAAGAAAATCTATTAGTTTAGTTTGTCACAAATATATCCTATAAAAGAAGAGGTTATAAATCGATCTATTTTATACAGTCATTATATACTTTGGATTTTTTAATAAGAAACAATCTTATTCTTTATCAGACCTTAATTGTTTTTATTCTTCCGTCATACTTGAATATATAAATGATATTCAATTGCCTTGTAATGTATAAACAGAAATTTTATTTCCAAGTTTTTATCCTTTTTACCACGAAACATGTTTCTAAAATGACAAAGTTGTTACTATAAATTTTAAGTAATTAGATTTTGTAAGAGTTAAACATCACTTGTACCTGCTTCTTCAATATAAATAATATTTTGACAGTCGAAGCAAAATTACTGTGCTTATCTATTAAAAAATAAATCATATATTGCATTATTGAATGTTTTATTCCATTACCCAAATTTTTAACAGCTACTAAGGTAAGAGCATCAGTAAATGACCACTTAAGGGCACACTTTCCTTTTTTAATACTTAACCTTAATTTTCATCCGAATTCAACGAGTGTTACCTTTTGTAAACTCTGCGGTAGTCTTTTAACGAAACAAAACCAGTGTTTTTCTTGTATAATTATTAAATAGAAAAAAAAACAATTTTTAAAAATTAGATTTAGGTAGTAGTTGATCATCTAATAAAGTAGTAGATGACCATATACTGCATCAGTAGATGACCATCCAGAAGCTCAAGTTTTAATAGGTTTATCTACATATGTAGCATCTAAGTATTGAGCATAGGTAAATAGATAATGTGTTTCAGGAGTTTTGGATTTTCAAATTTTAAGGGGGAAGTCCGTGTAGGAGTATCGGTTTTTTAAACTAGAGAGAGAGGGAGAAAGTGAACTAGGGAGGGACAGAGGGACGGGAAGGAATGGAGAGGGGAGGAAAGAGGAACAGTTAAAAAGTAAACCTACGTGGACCAAGTCGCGGGCGTCCGCTAGTTTGTTAACTTAGATTAATGATAAGTCATCGCGCGCTCTGACTAGATGCCGCGCTTCCTGCAAGTAACAGCTCCATGAATGCGGCATCTTAATATTGTAGTGTGTATAATACAATTTGCATGATGCTACTTGCGTGAAAAATTGTATATGCCAGCAGCTTAACTATTACCCGATTAACGGGAAAATTTATATTATGCTATGGCTCAGTAGTTAAGTTCATAGTTATGAATGTATTCC